TCCCCCTCTTTCCAAAGTAGCCTTGAAAACAGGCAGGCCTTCAAGCACAAGGATGCATTTTAAGATGAAGACTCATATGCAAGTCAGTCAGTTGATGGACCAACCTTCCTCTCTGCAAAAGGGTGCTGAATTTTAAAGAGGTTCTTATTATGCATTATCCCCAAGTCTCCATCAATCTCCAACAAAAGCTTGAGGCTGTGCAGACAGGAGCACGTTCTGCAGCTGTGCACATTGCCCAGGATACAGCCAGATGGTAACACACCCCAAAATACACACACACACCATTTTCCTGTTGTCAACACACTCCGGAGAAAACAGACCTACGGAGAGGTTCTCATGAAGCAAAAAGCTTTCATTTTTCAGTATTAGTCACTGACGAAGGGTAGGAAATTTGAGAGAAGAAACCTTGTGCTGAGAGGTGAAGAGCCCGTGTCCCACGAGCTGCGTGTGGGAACAGGCTGAGATAAAACTGACAAAACTGGGACTATTTGTCTAACTTGAGACAAATCCCTGCTCTGCAGCACCACAACCCTTTGAACATCCCACTCTTACTAATTATTCCCATTTGATTGTATCTTCAGAGCCAAAATACCTTTACCAGGAAGTTTCTGAAGTGATGTGTACAGAAAAAAACCCAACTATATATATATAAAAATATATAAATCTGGTACAAAATTTGCAGAGCTTGATGCCTTTCTAAAGTCATACTGTAGATGGTCACATATCCTGGCCAAAACCAGATCAAACCTTCTCCAGTGGAAGCTACTGCCACTCAATTTCTGCAGAATCACTGCTACTTGAGGCTAAAACAAGGCCTTTACAACCTATTATTGAAAAATTCCAAGATTCACCTGTAAGTAATCCAGAAACAAATTTTATAAGAGCACAACAGAAATTGCAATTTATTATTATTCTGCATTTTTCCTGCAAAGTTAAAATACTCCCCAGAACACCTGCACTATGCCACCATGCTCAGTTATTAACTCAATATTTATGATAATTTATCAAACAAGTTGATATTTTCTGGTGCAACATTTCACCAAATCCACAGTGTTTTGCAGAGGAAGCAGCTTTATCAAGATGATGAAGAGGTCTCCAATGTTCAAAGGTGTGCTGGCTAGAACAGACAGCCCAGGAAATGACACCAAGCTGTGGATTTTCATAATAAAAAATCCTCCCATAGCCACCATCTGTAGCTTAAAATACTTCTACAGCCACCATTCACAGCCCCATGCCATCTTCTCCTGGCACACAGACACACCAAGAAGAAACCAATCCACCACTTTTTCAACCTGATCCTAAATAACTGTCACACCCCAGCATGGAAGGAGCAAACAGGTACGTGGGTTGTTTGGGATGAAATTGGATTGTGGGAAAAGAAACTAGCTGGGATTTGAAAAGGGAGCTAAGAAAAGCTGATCTTGAGTAATTTTATGTTTATTTCCTCCTTTCAGGGTTCACACTGGCTGCCCATGATGTCTATTAACCTTTACAATATATTAATGGTGCTTTCATGGGGCGACTGCACACACAGGCTTTGTGTGAACACACAACATTTCACACACAAAGCAGTTTTTGATCTAAAATTCAAAACAGCCCAAACTCAGCTGTGTCCCTTGGAGGTCACACAGCGCTCAGCAGGGTTCCCAAAATCTTCCAGGTTCCATCACCAGCACAAAATTCTGCCCATATAGCTAAAAACTTAGAGGAAAGAACTGTCTGGCTTCTCAGGAGTGGCAGGGATTTATAGGAAGCCTTAACCAAGGGCAGGGCCAGCAGCCCTGTTCTGCAGCACAGGGATGCCCACTGCAGAAGGAACCCACCATTTCAATCCCCTAGTCCATGGAAGATTCCACCTTAGGCTCCTCTTCCAAGTGCTGGGACCTGCCCTTCAACCCGGACTTTCCATTTTGACTCAAACCACTGTCAAAATGGGCCAGTCCTGCCAGATTCCCTTGGTCTCC